ACGACAATTCTCTGTACACATAACCACCGTATTTACTCTAACTCGTCTTACTATTTAAAGTTTATATAAGAGAAATATTTTTAACACTACGCAGTATATATTTTGGATCACCTGAAGAATCATCGCCCCAGCTTATTTCACCTAAAGATTAAACCACCCTAAAACTATTTTGGGAGGATGAGGTTAGGTTAGGATATGTTAGGTTAGATTTAGGTGAGGATAGAATAGGTTTAGGTTAGGTTAAGTTAGCAATAAGGTAGTTAATCTTCAGGTGAAATAAGCTGGGGCGATGATTCTTCAGGTGATCCAATAATTTTATACCAAACTAAAAAAAAAATAATACAATCCTATTTTCTTCTTATTTTTCGCAAGGAGGAAAAATTTCACCCTTTTGATTAGATGATTTTTGGGTTAATAACTTTAGTGATCTAGTTATCTTCCACACGTCTAAGATAACAGGAACATAATGGATCTAGTGCACTGTATTTCTTAATAAGGATTGACGTCAGGGAGAGATGGTAATGAGGAACTAGTTATGCAAGTGGAGGCGGAGTAGGGTGCGTGGGTGAATTGGACGGCCAGACCTCGTGTCTGTCTGTCTGGCTGTCTAACGTGCGTACCAAATATCTGAACCATATGGAGTGTCATCTGGTGTTTTTTTTTCTACCCCACACATTGACACCTACCAGAGCCACTGTTTTTTTTTTAAAGGTTATTCCCATCGTGGCCTCCGTGTTCTGTACTTTCGCACTTGTCCCCTAACGTTACCCTAAAAATTCCCTAGCTTTACTGTAAAATTCCCTAACATTAACCTAAAAAAAAAGGCTCACATTGGGGGTCAGGGTCACCTAGTCGACTCACTATAGGTATAATAATACTAAACTCTACTTTATTATGAGTTTCTTAATTAGGATGGTTTCGCGCACACACACACACACACACACACACACACACACACAGTAATAAATGAAAACAAATGTAAAAAAAATAGAATTAAGTCAGAGGTCAAAGGTGATAACTCAGGGGTCAAGAAGATCACCAACAACTACTAGTATTACACCGGTCTATGAAGATGAGACATAATGTGGTAGGTGCGTAGGTCAGCTGAGTCATGTGTGTGTTGTAATAGGGGTGTTAGTCACTCAACTGTGGCGTAGGTATTTAGCAATCTGTCTGTCTGTCTGTCTGGTCTGTGATATGAATAATTAAAACAAGGATTATGTAATTAGCAAAAACGAATGAATATTGATGGAAATAAAACGAAGATATAAATATGACTAGACTAAAAAGAAAGAAATGAATGATAATGAAACAGAATTGTGATGAATGAAGGTTGATGATGATTGAGTAAGAATGAGTAAGAGGAGGAAGAATGTTGGTGGATGTTGAACCAATAAAGTTAACCTTGCATTGAGTGACCATATCCTCGCTGGCTTTAGTACCCTGACAGCACACACACACGCATACATACGTACATACATACATACATACTACCCACGTCTTTAGCTACGCCTTAACCTGTCAATGGTGTATAGAGTGTGTTATTAATACATGTGAAAATATTAGTTCCTCGTTTTTACATTATCTCAAGGGGGAACCTAATGCATGTGAAAATATTGATTCCTCGTGTTTACATTATGCTAAAGGGTGACTCAATAGTTGTAAAAATACTGAATAAATCAAGTCATTTCTCAAAGGATCGTAAGTTTTTTTTTTCTCCTCCTTAACTTGAGAATCCGTGAATCACTTAACCTAACATAATCTAACGCCATGAGTCACTTAAACAACATGACATAATTTCAACTCCACATAGATCAAGATTTACCCCCACACCCCCACACACCCTCCCACCCCCCCCCGACACACAGAATCATTGTGCTAAACTCGTTAACAAAGATAAAAAAAAATAACAATCTTATTTTTTCGGGAGAGGTTTGTGAACATTACGAAACGATGATTGTTTATTATTTGTCCCGATATACGAGTAAGTGTGGGTGTAGTGTGCTTCCTTGTTTGTTGTTTAACCTCCAGCCACTTATGTCATAGTATCCTGTTTATCATTCAACTTTCTCAAGGGGATGAAGTGACCACAGTTAGTAATGATCTTTTTGTCTGATTCATCCTTGTTTTATTTATTTATCAGTGTAGATTAGAGGTTAGTATATAAGTAGATGTAGTTGACAAAAGTAGAGAGATATATAAGTATGTGGTAGAGAGAAAGTACGTAGGTCAATAGATGTGGTAAAAAAGAAAGTGTGTGTGTGTGTGTGTGTGTGTCATAGTTGGTTGGAAAAACAAGGTCAAGGTCACGTGGCTAAGGTCGTATGGTGTGTGACAGTAGGTGGAGAAACTAGGTCAAGGTCACGGTGTCTTGGTGTCATGTTCGCATCTTGTTATGTAAAAATGACAAGTTGTTTTATATCCTTCTCACCACTCACACACTCACGGGGGGGGGGTGGATCATTTGTCACTGTTGATGACAAATGAGGATTAAAGAAAGCACTGTCTCTTCTGCTTCGTTATTCTACTTTCTTCTGCTTATTTTTTCTTTCTCCTCCTACTCTTTCATCTGGTTCTTATCGTCTTCTTTTTTTTCCTCCTGTTTGTCATTTTCTGTTACTTTATACTTTCTTTATTTCTCCCCTTCTCTTTTCTCTCCTCTTTCTTCTTCGGGAAACAGTGTTAGCAAGAGACAAAAGCAGAAATACGAATACAGATAATAATTTTTTTAAGGCACTTCAGTAATATATGAGAGAAAGTGAATCACACAACCGAGACGGGACGCAGATGTTCGGGACGATCTTGTTGACCTTCCGTATAACTAATGTCACCACACACACACACACACACACACACACACACATGTCGAATAAATTAATCTTGCTTGTATATTTTGATATTTGAGTATAAAAGAAAGGTTTTAAGTTGTTCAGTTTAAAAAAAAAAATTACAGAGAATGATAAAACAGATGGTGGTGCCGAGTGGTCTATGCAACACCAGTCAGGGTGGATGGTGGTAGCAGGTGATACGGTGATAGCATAGTTTAATGTTGTTCGTCATTGGGTTCATCATGTGCACTCAAGGAAAGACTCGACGTATTCCACATTATCGTAAAAGACGCCAGGGTGTCCGCCCCCAAGGAAATGATTCCCAAATAAAGATGAATTAAATAAAGATTTGGAAGACCTAACCTAACCTGATGATCTAAAATAGCCAAAACCTGACCAAATAGGACCTGACCTAATCTAACCTTCCTTACTGACACTGAACAATGGCTAGTAAATTGATAAGCGATAGAAATGATAATTAGACTATAGATTTAGCAATAATTTATGTTTATTTCGAGTACTGTAATGCATGTAGCTAATACTAAATAGTCCCTGATATGGTTTGTTTTTATTTAGTTCAGCGGTGAAGACTTCAGTTTGCTGTTGACACTTGAATAACTCATAACAAAGTAACTCAGTCATTGTATATGTATTTATGTTTGGGTAGTATACATGATACTACCTAAGTTAATAGTATTTCACGTAACCAGGGATGTAGTACATAACTCTCTTTATTTTTATATGTTAGTACAGTACTATGAACATGCACTAAAAGACATTATTTCTTAGAGTAGGAATACATTATAACAACACAGCTGTGGTATCCACGTCTGATCTACCAAGTAATGTGAGATGACCTTGGTGCTAGGTCACTTGACAATGCAATGGTTGAGTGAAGATACGTATACGTTTTATGTTGCTTCTTGTTACTGACGAGTTTTTGTCGACATTAGCCAGGAAGAACACTGCCTCACTGGACGTGAAGTGACTTGTCTGGGTATATTCTTTAGACAGTGATAAATATATATATGTGAACTTGTAGCACTTTGCAGGCCACACAACCAAAAACATTTTAAACAAGTAAAACCGAGAATGTTCTTGCATGAGTTAATTTACCACCTCATACTTTTACTTACTTTACTTTTATCCTCTTCACCACTGATCAGCTCGTTAGCCGCTTAGGCGATCGGTCACGTCTGTTACCCTAACATTTTTCTTTCAAGAATTTAAGGTCGTTTAGCATGATTATGATGGTAATAACACAATATTAAACTGATAGAGCAGCCATAATGCCCCGTGTCAACCTTCATTACTGGGAATGAATAAAATAGTACGTGTAGTGTACGTGACGGTATCTGCGGTGAACAGTACATTTGTTGGTGCTAGTCCACGATGTTGTTAAAACGAGGCACGACCCAAGAATTACACTGTTCAAGATGGGAGTCACTGAGGAGGGACGTTATTTGCTCTTGGCATATATCTTATTCAAGAATGTTGACTCATATGCATGAACTGACAAAAAGGTTGGTGAATTTCCATGTGTATTTGTGAAGCTCAGGAAAGGAGATTGGCAACATCTGAAACTGACCCTTTCGATCCATACTTGTTTGTAGCTCAGTCAACTCCATCTGCAGGTGATCAAGTGCCATTATTATATCGATACTGAAGGGCTGCACGAAGGTCAGTTCACCACAACTATAATTTTGACGTTAGCCCATGTAAAAACTTCAACTTTGAATATTTTTACAAAAGTTAACATCGGAATCATTATGCCAGTAATGTATTATGAAACTAATTTTTATCACCAGTGGGATTTGGTATGAAACTAATTTTTATCACCAGTGGGATTTGGTATGAAACTAATTTTTATCACCAGTGGGATATGGCAAGTTGGAAGCTTTCTTAATCTTTGTTGAAACAATTACTATAAGTGAGCTGTGATAAGAATTAGTTGTGTGGTCCAAGCTGATGAAGGCTGCGATCTGGATGACAAACATTATACCCTACTCTGTTGTGGGTCCCACCAAGAAAGGTGTTCCCCACTACAAAGGTGATCTAACCATAATTTTTAGAGGCATTTCTCGTTTACAAATTTTGGTCTTGCAAAAGCCTTCAACTAACTTAGAAAACTCATCTTATTTATATAGGTTACAGCATTCTCCTTATCCACAGAGACGGTGACACAGAGCATGGTGGAGACCTTAGAGACACTGGAGGACCTGTCACACCCCTGTGTGAGGGAGTGCGTCCTGGGCGGCGACTCCCGTGTCTGCCGCTACACCTTCAAGGTACCTCATCATCGTCATCAACTAGTGTGTGTGTTTGTTGACCTGACTCCCTCACCTCTGTTGATAACTATCCTAACTCACTGCTGTTCATCTCCACCCTGACTCCCCTGCTCTAGCAAAGAGATCTTTTTGATCAACCATGGTTAACAAGTCTTCTTACTTATTGATGTACAGTCAGCAAAAAAAAAAATATTCTGCACCTCTAGGTCTGATGGCCTCTGCAACGATCACTGACTGGGGCCATGTTAATTTGGTAAGGTTGGTATTTCTGGTTGTATGATACATTGTATAACCAGTATGATGTATTTTTTATATCTCATATAGTTAATAACAGAGAAATTAACAGCAACAACCCGCATAAATGAATGTTGTTCAGAATTCTTGGTCCGGTGTGTCATATTGTACTGTATAACACCATAAAGGTGCAGAATTTTTTTTGTTGACTGTACATACAGTAACTATACCTGTACACTGTACAGTATGTATATATTTTGTTTGTTCATACAGTATACATACTCACGCTGCATTTAAAATTGTCTAGTTGTCACTATAGGGTAGTTAATGTGTCTGTCACTACCTCCTGTGACCCTCACATACAGTTTACTAAAAGGACACACAAGATCATATTTGGCCTGAGTCACTTGGCACCACACAACTGTTGTGTGGGGTGGCTCAAGGGCTACAGAAGGGGCAAGTGTTGGTGTGGAAACTGTTAAGGCACCACATAAAGATATCTATACAGTACCCTGTTTACAGCTTGAATCTTTTACATCATGGAACTTAATATCTTATCAGTTCACTGTGGACAGTTAAGACATCAGGAGTATTATGTACATTTCCTAATTAATCTGAACACTGTAGCTATTGTATTTGTAACTCATTGAATATTATCTACATCCCACTAAATATATGGCCCTACAGATTTACAGGATGTGGAGGACTTGTTATTCTACTTACAGTACAGTGCAGTTCTGTACAGTATTTTTTTTAAACTACAGTACAGTATTACACTACATTATATTTTGTTTATTATATTTATACTGTATACAATACAGTATACGTATAGCTATTTTAACATTTATGTTGAAATGGCACAAACTGATATTTTATGTTTAGAGAACTATTACAATTTAATGAATTTTAATGTAACTATAGTGTACTGTACAGTACAGCCCCTGACTGTGTTGCAGGTAGAGTGGTACATCACCATGAGCAAGGCCTGTTATGACTGTCCCTTTAACCTGACTGACTGTTCTCGCCCCCACTGCGCTGCCGCTGATGGCTTCGAGAGGCCTCTCATCACTGTGAATCGTAGGCTGCCAGGACCTGCCATGCATGTAAGTGATTCTCTGTGGTGGGCCTTCATTATAAGAAGATCTCCAGGAATGTGTTTTTAGTTATTTTTTTCTTCCTTTCCTAGTTCTGTATGCAAAAAGTTCTGTATAGTAGGCCCTTAGACCACGAGTACAGTACTGTTCATTAATTCTGCACTCTACTGATATTTTCTCCATTTACAAGTACAGTACAGTAGCTCCATTCTGTAGACTATTCAAATATTTCAGTCGATCAGGTTATACAAACTTCCTGACTTGTGATAAATATTGCATATTGAAGCTTGCATATACAGTACATACTGTACTGCAGTATAGGGATAGTTTTGTTGAGTGGATTGTTCACTCTTTATTTTTTTAGGAATGAACTCTGGATTTTGGACACAAGGTTCTTCATACATTTTGAGAAAAATTGCATAAATGCCGAGAAGTATAAAAATTTATTTCATAGCTTGAATGTAACCGCTGTACATACTTCTAAGTTAGTACTGTACATGAGTTCTCCATTCTTGTGAATAAATTTGTTCACGGTGTCTCCCTTCATGTTACAGGTTGCCTACCATACTGTCTCCTCTGTTGATTATATTAGACTTCATGATGAAAACAAAATGTATTTTTTTGTTACTATGAACATGAGAATATTTTACAAAATATGAGTAATTAAAGAATATTATTGATGCTATAATGTACACACAGTGATTGTATAGGGGTGTTTACTACAGGACATATTGTAGAGTCTTCCTGGAGTAATCTACAAATAATTATTATCCAGCTCAAAGACAAATAATTCTTCTACAGTATGACTTTACCATTAAGATAATTATTTATATACATGTATAATATTTCTGTAAATGATTACTACCTTATATTAACTTTATTTTATATGAAGGGAAATACATATGAGGAGATCTATAACACAGAGGGCATCCATACAATTCAGGGTAGCCTGAAGGAGAGTAGCCTTCATACATGTAGTGTAGTGTGATCAGTGATATACAGTACAATACTGAGGTCTTCGTACATATTATTGACTCAAGACAGAGGATGTTCCATACATGGGGAATTCACATACTGTACTGTACTGTATGGATTCAAGTGAAAATAGATATTATGACTTAGGATAGACATGAGGCAACCTAATACCTACAGTACCTTATCACCAGGTGTGTGTTGGGGACGAGGTGGTGGTGGACGTGGTTAATGAGCTGGGCAGTGACTCCACCTCAATACATTGGCATGGCCTCCATCAGTGGGGCACCCAATTCATGGATGGTGTCCCCTTCCTTACCCAGTGTCCCATCACTGCTGGCACCACTTTCAGGTAAAACCCATTACCTCTGTCACGGTCCATTCAATGTACAATGAAAGACAATAGTCGTGTCGTGAATTTTGGTGAAAACATATGCCGAAAGGCTAAACTTTTGGTGAGCTCTGCCTTGTGGTAGGGTATGAGGGCCTCAGCTGCCACCATTTATGAGGGCCTGTGTGTCAGTAACAATCCCTTTTACTCTCATACTTATTACCATTGGTAGCGTGACGAGAGGAGGCTCGTGGGTAGATGAAATGATAGTAACAAGCAATAGGGAAGAAATAACGGTAAATACTGTAGGTAAATAATAGACACAATATACAAATACAAAATTTATTTAAACATTAATATGAAATTAGGAGAAAGAATTTATATGTACCAACAGACGAAATCTAGTACTAGGCCCTCAGGCTCAACATACTCACACCATTACTGGGTGAACATACTCAATAACACTTCCAACCCTACTGGGTGGACATACTCAATGACACTCAACTCTTATAGTCACTTAGCACCATAAAGACCAGGGCAACTGCCACTACAACACTCAGTCGTCAGGAGTGATACTCAAGCAACAGCCATGGGGTCCAGCCACCATGGAGTACTTTCCAACGAACTCTGAAGATCCCAGTGGATTAATCCCACCACACAAATAGCCCTACTGAGTTAGACACTCATCCACCAATGATGGGGGCTGGTAGTGGTGTGTGGCTTGGTGATCTGGGGTCACCTCGCAGGCCTAGCGTTAGGGCCAGACGAGCCAGCTATGGGGGCCATAGGTAGTCTGAAGTGTCTGACGGCCGGGTCTCACGAAGGTAACTGATCCTACTGGACCTCGGACATCTCCCCAGACATAGTGGATACAACATCCACCCTACAGACACGGCCTAGGCTGCGTTAGGGACCTGTATGGATGAAGGGACGGGCACTTACTAACTGTGACAACGACATCACATTTCAGGGGACGTTAAAGACGTAAATATGACTTCACTCAGAGCATATCAACTACGTTACTGTAACACTTGCACAATCAACTATTAATTGGGTCAAATCACTTAAAGAAGGGCGAATTACAACACTGAGTGGAATGGCATACCTGTATGGATGAAGGGACGGGCACTTACTAACGGTAGAAATGCCCGCGGCACCTTCACTCAAAATAGGCCAGGGAGTCCACCTACTTCTATTTCGATGAATTAATTTACTGTACACTCTGACGTTGAAACTGAGACTATGCGCTCAGTTTCATTCCCTACTATTATCCTCACTAACAATGCTCTGACTCAGCTATCAAAAGCAAAATCAAATTGATCACAAAGGGTTGGATGGCAACAGGTCCCAACATACAGCGTCTGCTACGAAATCCGCGGATTATATTCAAAGTTCCCTTAAGACAAAGACGGGGAAACAGAGAAAACGGGGGACGTTTCCACTGGGGGACTCAGAAGGTTTTGTGGACGTTTGAGCGTAATATGAATCCTTAAGGTTTTCAGGTTAGCCGTCATCACGATCATGACAAGGGGGCTCTCATAATGTTTCACGAGTTGTATTTAATCTTCGGACAAAACCGCGACACAACTTTTGTCTTTGATTGTACAGTAATACAGTACAGTATATGAATCTTTCCTCTGGTGTCTTGTCTTCAATATAAATCTGTACCCCTATATAAAAATCTTCATCTTTCATGTTTTACTTCACATTCAGTTGAAAGTACTTTATATACACATAAATTTATACTGTACAAATAATGCTAATGCATGATAAATCCTAAGTTAATGTGTTTCCATGAACAAGCTAGGAATATGATTCAAGTATGGAAGTCTGTCTCACTCAGGGTTAGCTGCATGTGTGGTTTAAATGTTAATATACTTATATTATTATCTCTCTCTCAGTCTATGTGGTTGTCCATACATCTGATAGTTTAATTCCCAGACCATAACATAAAAACCACCTCGATTCTTGTTGACAGTGCGTAACAAAAATGTGACTGACGGCCTAAAGATTCAGTTATTAGTTAAAAAGATTGTTAAAAAATTTCCATATCCATGGCAGTTTAGTAAGGGATATAGGTGACTGAATTCTTGTTGGAAATGTGAAGTGTGTGTGTGTGTGACTTGAAGATAGAAATTCTTATAATAATGATTTTCTATTGAAGTATTCCCAGTGCCAAGATATCCAGCATGACCCAGGATTTCCTACACCAGATAACAGTATTCTTTTCATAATGATTAATTCTGATTTTGCAGCAAAGATGAATGATGCTTAAACATCTCTGTCTTGTCCTCCTCAGATACCACTTCTTGGCAGACCATCCTGGCACTCATTACTGGCACTCTCATTCTGGTAAGTATTCATGTTCACAAGTATGAGTGCACTTAACTAACTCAGATATAATTTGTGTGTTCTCAAGTATTACAGCACTTAACTTACCTATAAAATTTCTAATGTCATAAAGAATTTGAGCACTTAACTCACTCACTTATGGTATGTACTGAAGTATTAGTGTAGAACTCAGTCTGGCAAGTACAGTACTTAACTCCTGAAAGTCTTCCTTAGTTATATCCTTTAGCTCATAGTGCAGTAAAACCCAAGAAAACTCTTCCTGTTATCAGAAATTAATGGCTATAAGTACAGGGTATTTGATGAGAAAATAAAGCCATGGATACTCAAAAACATTGAAGTATAAGCTGTGGTGTGCCTTCCATGGAGCCACTCAGCTAGTACTGTATGTGTTATTCTGTGTGGCCTCACTCTTGTGCTTATGGCCTGAGATGATAACATTGTGCATTGTAACTGTATTGTTTTAATATAAATTAGTCTTTTAATGTGAGTTTGATATCTAAACTTGGGATGGCTGAGTAGGTAACTGCTCCTGGCCAATAAGGGAACAGCTTTCATAACCCAGGATTACTCAGGCTTAATGTAAAGAAAAGTTCATATGTTGAAGCACTCCCATATGACATTTTTTTTATTATTATTATTATTATTATTATTATTGCTGCTGTCATTATTTTTTTTTATTATTTTCTTATCTAACACTCACTTGGATCCTGATATTGCCAGGATTTGAGGCCATAGCATAACCTGTCTGGATTGTTCTCACACAATCCAAAGATAACAAGTCTTGATTCAAGGGAACAAATTGTATTATTTACTGTACCGGAGAATACATATACAGTACTAGCTCACTTCATAATAATTTTACATTTTCTTCACTTTACTCAAGGTCTTCAGAGGACCGATGGAATGTTTGGATCACTAATAATTCGAGAGCCTCGGGAACACGACCCGAACAAACACTTTTATGATGAGGACGACTACAACCACGTCTTTGTCATCACTGATTGGCTTGATGGTCTTGGAATTGACAAGTTCGTCAACCATCATCACACAGAGGTATGTCGTTAGGTCTTGATAATATCAGATTACTATTGTTCTGTGAGTGTTGTCTAATGTTTGAGATTGATTTCTGTTACTGGGAGTATATAATATAATCTTATATTTTCTTATTTTTTATGGGTCAGTTTCATGGAGTATATGATTGTGACATCATGACTTTTGCAACTAATTCATCATAGTTTTCAGTGTAGAGTTTGAGGTAATACTGTTGACTATGAGTACAGTGGGGTATGCTATAACGAACGGATCCTACTACGAATATTCCTATAACGAACGGTTTTACCTATAAAATTGAGATTGCTATAACGAACGAAACTCCTACAACGAACATTATTATATATATATATTTTTTTTTTTTTACTAATTTATTGTTTTTTTATTACAAGTATTAATGATATTCTTTATTTCAGGGGTTTAGATGCATATCTATGCACTTTTTTACAATTTTTACAATTTTATATTATATTTTTCAGTGTTTAGTGGTTGTATTTGGGGGCCTGGAACGGATTAACCCTATAACGAACAAGGTTCTAGAACCAATTAGATTCGTTATAGCATACCCCACTGTACTGTTTAATATATTCATTCATCTCTAGTTAATTACCTCTTTTTGAATTTAATGAGTTGATTTATCTACAGCATGACAACAAACCCTACAATATACTGATCAACGGCCGCGGGAAGTTTGTCAAGTTTGAGAGAGATGGTGTTGAGGTCTACACACCAGTCCAGGAGTACTCTGTCAAACCAGTGAGTAAAGTGTAAAGTCAAGTAGGTCTGGAGGCACTTGTAGGTCTGAAATCCTTATGCTGTGAATTAGAATAGTGTGTGGGTACTGTGCCAAATTCAGATGTTGGTTAGTGTCAATGGCTACTTGTAAATTGGGTACGATGTTTTGATCTGTTGTCAAGTTTTTGCAAGATTGAAAAAAGAAGTATATCCTTGAATGAGTAATTTTATGATTACCTGGTAACTCTTTGGCTATAATATCACACACACACACAGTAAAGATGTTGTGGCTTGAAGATTTCCACATAAGACCAGTTCCTTGTTTGTATTTATATTTTTCCTTACAGCCATTTAATCCGTTAAGTAGAATTTGTTAGCTTGAAAAATCAGAACATTAAATTTACTTGAAGGTAATGCTAAAGTATTCAATATTTTCAGTGATTTTTATAATAATAATAATAATAATAATAATAATAATAATAATAATAATTAACGGTTTATTGAAAAAATTCTGCAGCCCGAAGGCTGGAAATATACATTGGACATAAATGACTTATTACATACACATTGGTGGTTTAACAAAAGCCTTCATTAGAGAAAGGTAAAGGAACATACAGTGAACATACAGATGAATGTAGGTGTTGAACAGCAAACTCGTAGTGGAGTAACTCCCTCCCAGATGGTGTTAGGAGGAACTCACGTGGTGTAGTAGTTCCCTCAGATGGTGTTATGAGGGACCTGGCGTGGTGTAGTAATTCCCTCGCAGATGGTGTTATGAGGGGCCTCACGTGGTGTAGTAATTCCCTCACAGATGGTGTTATGAGGGACCTCACGTGGTGTAGTAATTACCTCACAGATGGTGTTATGAGGGACCTCACGTGGTGTAGTAATTACCTCACAGATGGTGTTATGAGGGGCACGTGGTGTAGTAATTCCCTCACAGATGGTGTTATGAGGGGCCTGACGTGGTGTAGTAATTCCCTCACAGATGGTGTTATGAGGGACCTCACGTGGTGTAGTAATTCCCTCACAGATGGTGTGATGAGGGACTTGACGTGGTGTAGTAATTCCCTCACATATGGTGTTATGAGGGACATGTGGTGTAGTAATTCCCTCACAGATGGTGTTATATGAGTGAGGTTTGGTCTTAGGCCTTCCTATCGTAGACGGATTAACACATCGCTGGTTGTTGTTGGGTCTCACGGGCCGTTATCACTGGGTACCTGGGACCTCACTGTGTGAAGGTTAACTTGGGTATGACTGTTACTGTTGAGTTGTTCTCACTGACTTAAGCACTGTTCACCACTGTTCACCTCTGTTTAACACTGGTTCCGTTCCTTTCCTAAATGAAATTGTAACTTCTGGCGAGAACTTGTTGATATTCCGGTGGGGAGGAGGGTTCAGGGGAGGGGGTTGGTATGGGCCAACTTAACGGTTGACCTGGCTGCTCCAAGAGGAGTGCCAGGTACGTCTTGACCCTTCGGTGGTCAAGGATGTTGTGTTTTTATGTGAGTAAATGAATGTTATCTTGTGTGGTAGTCAGGTTGAATGTACCTAAATGTATAGAACCTACATATGTACTGTACCTCTTATCAGATTACAAAATAATTCTTCAACAGTTTATATAATGATTCCTGATAGTATAGGCTGATGTTTATTGAACACTTTTCACACATATATCTCACTGATTGCCTCATAACAGCTTCGGCGCTACAGGTTCAGAGCTCTGAGTAACAGCATACAGAACTGCCCTATTGTTATCTCTGTTGACAACCACACCCTTGTCCCCATCGCCACTGACGGCATGCCCATCCAGCCCATAGAAGGTGAGTGAGTGTAAGAGGAAGATGGAGTATGAAAGGGATTAAAGAGGAAGATACAAAGGGAGCAGAGTATGAATATGTGAGGTATATATTCTGTCAAACAGGGTATAGGTAAGAGGATGGAAATATATGGGTAACATCCCAGTTTGTCTACTTACCATTGTGACTTCCCTCGAAATGGTTACTAATCCTTTTTTGGGTCTAAGTTAGGTTAGGTGTGTGTGTGTGTGTACCGATGTATATGTCAATGTGTGTGTACAGTACAATGAGGGATGAGTTTAGATGGAAGATAAAGCTTTAAATATAAAGGAAGAGTGAAGAAAGGTATGGAATGACTGTGTAAGGAAAGGTGAAGAAGAGCAGTAAGAGGAGATATGGAAAGAGAATGAGGGATGGTGTATAATTAGCCTGGAGTGTGTTTGTGTGTGTGTGTGTGTGCAATACAGGAGTAACATTTAAGCTAACAAAGCAATATGGCAGTAAATCATATCATACTTGTGTTATTTACTAATTCCTTATATCTACATCATGTGTTGTCTCTCACTCTTCATAGTTATCATTACTCCTTGATGGAATTGTCTCTTTTATCTCTGTCCCAACATTCTATATCTATCACCCTAATCACCCCTCCCATCCCCTTCCCAGTTTCTATATAATTGTCATAGTCAGCTCTTCGAATCCTTTCCACTCATCCATTGTTCATTGATTTAAGTACTCTTATTTTGCCTCCACTCAATCACCCAACACTCATATTCACTCACCCATCACTTGTACTCAGTCACCCAGTATTAGTACTCATTCATCTGTCTCACACCCTCACAGTGGAGTCCCTGACTATTTATGGAGGAGAGAGATGGGACTTTGTGGTGACCACCTCTCAAAGTATTGCCACCTATTGGATAAGGTTCCAGGGAATGCTGGACTGTGACGAGCGCTTCAAGTCTGCCCACCAGGTGACTTAAGTCTTGCCATGTTTTAGAAATAAGTTTGTGGTTTAACTAACATTGTCCATGAGCAAGGATAATGAATAATCTCAGTGAATAAGATGTTGTTTTTTAGTTGTAAGCTGAAGTGGTAAACTCCTGCAAAATATTTCCTTATTGCTAGAAATAATGTTAATACAATATTGTAGTACTTTGTTTCTAACACACACACACACACACACACACACACACACACACACACACACACACATACACATTTGTTTTTTAATTCCTTCCTTTAATGTAATAAACAAAAACCAATGAAAATTAAAACAAAATTATACTGTATATTGGTACCTGAAAGCCAAATTGTTTCCTGTGTATAACTTACAGATTATAAATTAACCAATTAACTTCAATCAGCATCAATATTTTATGAAGTTTCCTGATGAAGACTTACCCTACAGGTGGCAGTGCTGAGGTATGAGGGTTCAGAAGGCTTCCCTAGCAGTCTGGATGATGTCGATTATAACTCCACCATCCGTGAGGGCTTGGTTAGTCTAATGTTAATTTCAGTGTATAAGGCAACACAGAGGTGGGTTAGTTACCATATAGGGTTGGCAGTCCATTGGCCCCAGATTCATATCCTTATTGAGCAATATGTGACTGATATTAGGTGTAAGCCACAGTAGAGTACCAGTGGTATGACTGTATCACCACTGGATTGTCATAAAAACCCACCCAGCTCAAACATTCAGACTTATCTCATTCTATCTGGGATACGTGAGGCCAGACCCACACCCCAGGCTGTCTGAAGGTCAATGGTGTTCTTGGCAAATTAATCTCACTACTGTATTTCCATCTCCCTACCACAACAAACAGTTAAACTCACTACCTCCTCATCAGAAAAAACAATTACAATACAGTATGGTGTTTCCTTACCAAGCAAATATTTAAGCCCCCCTTTTCCCCTGCCACAGCAACTGAACAAGCTGAATGCTGCCCCTGGCGATGGCACCTTCCTGACAGCAGCCGAAATTCGAGGCGTAGAAGTGGGTGAAGATATTTCCCGCACGCCTGACTACACATTCTGGCTGGACTTTGACTTTTACAGCAAGAATAACGACTTTTTCCACCACGAGGATTACTACCCCTTTTTTGGAGGTTGGTGTATTTGTGTTTTTTGTCAAACCTTTATCCTCTTTTGTTACATTCTTTGTCCATGCTTCACTGTACTGTATATGGTAATAATATCAGCTCATTGACTCTCCCGTATATTCCCGTATTTGTCTCCTGTGATGCGATTCTCCTGCATAATATCTCAGTATATCTATTACTTGTTATCCCTCTGCTACTTTTGGTTCAGTTCCTTTACCTGATGTTCCATTTGTTGACACCTGTACCTCTAGATATGTGTAATGCTCTTCTTCCTTCATTCACTTCTCCTGGTCTTTCTTCTCTACTTACTGTTACTCCACTTTGGTTCAAGTTCACTAATAACTTTTCCCTTGTGCTTACTGTATCCAATCAGATAAAGAAATTTCCTTGTGAAGATTTGTGGAGGTATGTTTATTTACTCGTACTTACTGGTGATGATGATGTTGATAAAAGCATTCCCCATTTTGTTTAAAACCAAAGGATATCAAATCTCATTTTTAAAATTTTTGTACATCACCAAAGTAAATTTACTTTCTATGTACAGTACAGTAGTGTTAAAATGAAAAATACAAGTTTTTCGGTTGTTAAATTTAAAAGGGATGTTCCCATATGTGACACAATAAACTCAAAGTGTTTGGGATGTTATCAAAGGAAAAAAATAAAGTTTTTCCTATATGATGTTAAAAAGTAAAATTCCCCTATATCTCCACAGTTAGGAAACCGGTTCGTGTATTCGTGCCGCAGATAAACGAGATCAGCCTTAAGTTGCCGAGTGCTCCACCTCTGTCACAGCCCGAGGACGTTGACTTCAATTCCTTCTGCAATGGCACTGCCAAGAGAAACTGCAAAGGTGACTTCTGCTACTGCCCACACATCCTTAATGTCAAGAGGAACAGTCTAATTGAACTAATCCTGGTTGATGAAGGTGAGTTTGGTCATGAGACAAGGAACTAGATGGGTATTAGTCTAGGTGTTTCGTATGACATTGCCTCTCCATGGGGTGAACGTGAATTTTAGAGCCATATGAGCACTAAATGATCAGTTTTGTGCAATAATAGAACACAGGGAGAAATTGTATACAGTTTTTGGAGAGGGAAATGGTAAATATCATTATGGTAGCTAATAAGGATTATATATACAGTACTGTAATAGTAAATATCACATGCTGTGGAACATCATAATTTACACAGGAACATTTGAACTTGTTTTTTTTTGGGGGGGGGGTGGGGTGTTAGGAGCTACTGACAGTAGAATATTGCAATTTATGAGAAAGACTGAGTGCTGCACAGTACAGTATATAGTAATGATTGGTACTAAAGTCAAACTCCCAACCCTTGAGACATGGGTTCAGTGCCATGACCAGACAAGGTTGATGAGGGGTATTATTATGCTCTTGTTTTGAGCTAACCAACAGTCACTCCAGTACTGTACAGTATCAAAGCCTCAACCAATCCTTTTATGACTTACCACTCACAAAGTGTAGGAGATGGTACTGTAGTGTACTGTACGTATTTGTGTTTAGTTTGTTTTTTAATGTTACTCAACCATAACAGAATTAAAGTAACTCTACTGATGTTATATTTCAGCAATTTATGTTTACCTGGAACTGGTATTTTTTTCACCAGGTGTTGTATACTGGGCAAATCATCCCTTCCACCTGCATGGTCACACCTTTCAAGTGTTAGCCATGGGTCGTCTGGGGGAGAATACCACATTGGGAAAGGTATTCTTGAGAATAATGTCAGTACAGTAGTTTAGTAAATTAAACGTTTTCCAGGAATTCCAGGTAATGCATTTTCAAATATATATATTACTTGGGTTAGATATCTTTAATCTGTTTTTTTATGAGAGAACAACTCCTTCTATTTGATGTTAGTGTTGACTTTCACTACATATATCATATTCTTCCATCAGTGGGCCAAGTTGGTTGGTCTGTATATAAAGGGTGAAAAAGTTTGCTAGTCAAGATATGTAGATGTTATGAATTGATCTTATATGAGCATTAACATTATATCACCTTGATGAAGAGTGGATGGTATATAGCTTATTACATAAAAGGAAACAATGAGTGTTATTTCTTGACAAATTTCGAGGATCCAATTTCTCCATAAGTACAGAATATAGTTTTCACAAACATCCTGACATTTATTATGGGACACAATACTGTACACTACTAGTATTATTACCAACTCTTATTATGAGACCCAATTCAGAGATAAAGGAATGGAGTCAGGCCCAATAGTAATACTACTATAGAGCATATAAGGTACTTACTGATAAGATAAACAAACGAAACCGATAGTAAAGTTTCTGCTTAATGTCACAGGTACAGGAGATGGACGCAGCCGGACTGATCAAGCGTAACTATGACCACCCACCCACCAAAGATACGGTCACTGTCCCAGATGGGGGGTATACCATCATACGGTTCGTCGCTTCCAACCCAGGTAATACATTGGATATCTTCTGATGCTTTGGTTTTATCTTCCCAGTTAGATTGGTGATTAAGTGTGTTCCATATATTCATCCTTTGGTAAAGAATTCATTTGATTCTCTGTATTCAAACTACCCATTCTCCCCACTATACCCTGCAGTTCTTCCCACTGTACCTTGTAAATCTCCCCACTGTACCGAATAATTCTCCCCATCTCCTTACTGTACCCTGTATGATTCTCTCCTTTACCCACAGGTTATTGGTTGTTCCATTGCCACATTAGTTTCCACGTTGAAGTTGGGATGGGTCTGGTGTTCCACGTCGGGGATCAGAGCATGGTTCCCCCAGTGCCCAAAGACTTTCCCAAGTGTGGCCACTGGACTCCAGAACCCGACCCCAACTTCAAGTCCAGTCTCCTCCAGTACCTCAAGGATCTGGATGAGGAAAAAGTGAACGTCAACCTCGACCTCTTGCCCAATGATAACGGCAAGTACCCAGGTCCCAGTTACTCCACACCTACCCAGGGCCCCACACGTCAACGTCCGTCATCCGGGTCAATACCCGACAGTAGCAGTCTATCAGGCCAAAAAAATAATGTTGCATCTTCTTTATATCTTTTCACTTTTGTATTTTTTGTTCTTGTTTTCATGTAATTAATAGCAGATTTGTTAGGGAAGTCATACAAATATTCTAGGTTTGTGGAGAATTAGAATGAGATCTATATATTGCATTAAAAGTCATATGGTATAGTGGCTTTGTTTCTGTGTGTGTGTTTCTTACTCTCTGTCAATTGTAACTTTTGTTATTGTATAAAGTTTCTGCCACTCATATGCCTCTGTGACTTTGAAGAGAGTGTAATTTTGTGGTTGGGGTAATATGTACCGGTAGGAATTGTGATAAAGATTTTTCATATGTAGAAATCAAGATATATATAAAAACGGAAGAAAGCACACATCAGACCTGAAGTGTACTGGTGTTAGATAGGTTATGTTTCGGTTCAGATTTGAGTTGGAATTTGATAATACAATAATAACTTATTAACACACTTTGGAAGAACATTTCATGACTTTGTAATGTGCTTAGATTTTTTTCTCTTTTTTACCCTAATGCCGAAGATGGTTTAATTTTTGATCTCGAGGGGGTTTTTGTTGATCATTAAGAGATCCAAGACCTACAGAACGTGTCAGATATTTTGTGTTGGTGAAGATGTATATAACCATTCAGGAAATGTACTGTATTACATTCCAATTTCTCAGCATCTTTTGATTTAGATGATGAAATACTGTCAAAAATGTTTAAATTTGTCTTAATTTTTCACACTCAACATTGTTGTTTAATAGCTCCTTCTCCTCCTGTAGAGTTGAGCCTTTATATGAGATTGTCTTAACCCCTTCATTAGCTATGTTATGCAGGATAAGCTATAACAGCCATTGGCCAGTACAGTACAGTGAAGATAGTTGATTTTGTTTATGTAATTTATTGTTTTATATACTGTACATATACAGGTATGTATATATACCTGAACCCTCACTAATTTAATATTCACAATTCAATATTTTGGGCTTAATCGATTTTTTTGGTCAATACAGTTGCCCTTAGACAAATTTGTGTTGTTCTCGCAGTCATGCCTCCAAAAGAAACAGTTTTATGATGAAAGTTAAAAATTGATAAGAAATACAGTACAGCAACATGAAATGCATAGATATGTAGTATATGAAGTGTAATATAAAATACAATTGAGGGGTTTACAGTACCCTGTATACATAATCTCCATTTCACAACCATTCTTCACCTGACCACCATGACCAGCCCTCATCACCTCTTCCTTCACCAAACTCATCTCGTTTATTAATGTTAAATTTCACCTCAAAATTGATGCTCGCTATTTGTTGATGCAAGGTTGTTTGGTGAAGCATTATTGGGTCTTCTTCTTTATATTGCTATTATGATTATCATGTACAGTACTGTATTACAATGCTTATTGAGGCATTTATTGAAGTTAGATCATTCAAAGGGTAGTTTTAAGTAGACCAAAACTGGTATCCACGAATTTTGTTATTCATGGGGTTTTCTGAAACCTATCTCTCACAAAATAACAAAGGATACTTGTACTGTACAGTATTTACAGTACATGTATATCATACTGGACTACTGTATATTGTATAACTATATGAGGAGGCTTGAGATGTGTTTTATTATACCGTTATACTTATTTCAATATGGCATAACCTTAACTACATTTCTTTCCTTTAAATTTTGAGATGAATCCAATATGTTGGGATAATTCGATCGACCCAGAGCCCCAATGGTATAAAATTAGTGAGGGTTCAGTATACTTTATATATATACCTGATAAGACCTTGGTTTCATCCTATTCTCCCCTATCTCCCTGGTACTGTCCCTGAGTTTGGGTGCCTTAATTATATGAAGACACGTACAGTGGCTGGTGCATTTTGTGAGATGTGTCGCCTCTGTGTGTGTTTATATTGTATTAAAACTGATGGTGTACAGGAATTATTTATTTTTACACTCAATGAAGGGATCAGGTCTTTGTGGTGAGATCTTGCTTTCCCTTATCATCTTCACCATTGATCAGCCTGGTAGCCACTTGGACAGTAACTGATACTTGTCAACAGTGATCTTCAGCTAACAAGCTGATAAGTGGCAAACAGGATAGTGTAAAGTAAAAGTAAACTACATATATTAATGCTGTTATATTTTATATATTTATTAGACACAAAGAAATCTTAAACATTATTATTCAGAAGTTTAGAAATATAAAAAATAATCATCATATTTCAATATAAATCTTATAATGTTAGTATTTAGCATTTTACATACTGTACATTAAGGTAATATCTGTTTTTGTTTTGTTTTTTTACATATGTATATAAATGTAGTGAAGGAGTTAAGAGAGAAATTTATGTTCAGCTGCATTGCCTCCATGGCTCTAAACATTCCAACCTCAGTAAACACTACCTTTATTTCATTATTTGTGTCGTACTGTATTGTGTGTTTACCAGAGGGATGTGGTGGCTGTGTGGACAGAGTACTTGCCTCTTGTTCTAACATTTGCTGGGATCACTCCTGGGGCATCCTCAGTAGACCCAGCTGTGAATGGGTACCTGGCTTTACAGTTGGAGGGGTGATTGTTGTCTTTTTTTTATGTTTGCTAATATTTTATCCAGATAAGGCTCTGTGTGTACTGTATGTGTGTGTGTGTGTCTGTATATATATATTGATTGTATGTAGAAGTCTGCGTGCTTTATTGGGCTAATGAAATATGTATATATATACAATATATATATATATATATATATATATATATATATATATATATATATATATATATATATACAAAATATATATATATATATATATATATATATATATATATATATATATATATATATATATATATATATATATATATATATCTGTGTGTGTTTATGTGTGCAGAAGAGGTGAATTTCAAAAGGAGAGCTCAATATCCGATTAGCAAAAGTTACTTATCAGTTCAGATCCATCATAGGTTTGGTGGTCAATGACTGCTTGAGCATCACCCACAGCAAGTCAGTGAATGATTGAATGGCCTCAGACCCTTGTGGATGATAGCCATGTGTCTCCTCTTGCTAGCTGAGCATGAGAGATAGTTGCTGAATTGACTTAAAATCAGTTGCTACTTATACTAATTCCTAAGCAGTTTGTTACAGACTTTTAGGGAGAAAAGGGTCATCATGAGGGGGTCTTCTGACCAAGGTGTTTATGTCCTGTAGTCAGTGTTGAGTTGCATAAAAAACTACAAATAATAAAGGAGCTACTGTTCCTTTAGCTTGGGAATCTCAATTAGTGTTACTTTTACTTAGCCCAGAACTGCTTCCTTTATATCTATACTTTGCCCAGCATGGCTTTATGTTATTTTTAACCACCTGTTACCAGTTACCTAATCTCGTACTGATGTCAACTTCCTTAGTCCAGTTTAAGTACCTTTTCTCTGATGTTAACTCACATAGGCCAGTTTGAGTACCATCATACCTAGTCTAGTACTGTTACGACCATGTCATTCCTGTCTCGGTGCTTCTATACACACCAGGTCCCAAACTGTTATTATTACACTTTTCAACAACATGTAGCCTAGTGCTCTATCTAACTTGGGTCATACTGTACTATAGCACACTCTAAGCTTATATCATTATTGTAATATCATCTTAGCATTGTTACATCATTACCCTATCTTGATCCTACTATTTCTACATCGAGGCCACTGTACCCATACTATTTTTTTCTATTGCCACTACTAACTTATTCTTGCTTATAACACTGTTTCTACTACATATACCTCAAGTAAATCTGGCCTAGGTGACCTCGTCTGTTCTTCAATTTAAGAGACGAGACACGGGAAAAAGACAATCATTTTGACCCTTTCTTCCTATGGAGCTGTATGTATGTGTTAAGTTTAATTTTCCCTCATTGTGACATGATTTATTATCTATTGATATGTTGATGAAGTGTTCAACCATTTTTGTTCTTGTCATTTTAAGTTCATATCATTACCTCACTGATTAAGAGCCTGTATTGTATTGAAAGTGTAAAAGATAAACTTGTATATTTTAAATGTTTTGTTAACAGTATCTTAAGAAGACTACTTGTTGAGACTATTTTTTTAATGTTTATCTTAAAAAGGTTCATACAAGAAGAGATTCAGTCACGAGCAACATTCCTGTTGCCTCTTCTGCTGCTCCGCGAACCCCGAGATACAGATTAGTGAACCCAAAGCAATAGATACCGGTGCATTATTCTGTCCATAAATGCTTCGGACTCACTAGTTTATAATCTCGGGGTTCGTGAAGCGGCAGAAGAGGTGACAGGACTAAAAGTACATCTTAGTCCTCTCTTTTATTTATACATATATATTGGATTTACTTTACAAAATCATTCCTGATGCTTATACATATAGATAATTATTGAAGATGTGATAGTATTAATTGTCAATGTGTATAATTAAATATTATAACTCATTAGAGAATGACTGGAGCACCAGACAACCTCACAATACCCCTGTCAACCTAAGGTGTCCTATAAGAGATAAAGTACCATATATGTTACCAAACTCCTTTTGTGAACTGGAATACCAATGTTATTGTGGGTTGTGTTAAATTACCAATAACATGACCTACTATACCAAGACTTAAGAGGGTGGGATAAATTTTGGTCCCCCCCTTCTTAACCCCCGAGTTTTCCATTTCAGGATAACAGCTGTGTTTGTCTATGTACTTCAGTGTTACATTTATTTTATGTAAAGCAGAAATAGATACAGTATTCTCATAAAAAAACTAAAGAAAACATTAAGATGCATAATTTAATTTATTCCTCTAACATTAAGAACAAATTTTCTATAAATATTAATTATAAGTTAGTAATAAAGGCCAAGTACTGTACCAGGTAGTTATAATGTAATAACAGTACTGTACTATACTATACTGTATTGAATTATGCTATTTTTATAGTTGTGTAAAATGTGCATGTAAGGTATATAATTTATATACTGTACAAAGATGTGATTAGTCATTTGTCATTTACTTTATAATACAGTATGCTGTACCTCCAAGACCTATAATTCCTATATTGTACGTATAAATTATTTATTTTATTTTTTATGTTTACTTCCACTGTCTTGTAAACTGGATTGTGTCATTCAGAATATCAATTAATATTTTGAAAGTGCAGTAACACATTTTAAATCAGATTTAATGATACAATGTGCATGTAAAAGTCTTTAAATTATAATATTACAGTTCTTTGTTAAATCAATTTTGTCACTTCACATAAGCCAAAGCTTCAGTGTGAGGTGTTGAGACTACAGTACAGCCTCGTTAACTAACTCCTACCTGACGTGAAGAGGCAACAGTTCCATAAAAGTAATAAGTTATATTGCCCTCCACAATGTACTTGTATCCTCACCATTATGTATTCTTTCATATTCATCACATTTTTTTATAATGTAAATCTTTTACTGTAGTGTGCCTCCATCCCCATTACTGTAGTGTGCCTCCATCACCATTACTGTAGTGTGCCTCCATCCCCATTACTGTAGTGTGCCTCCATCACCATTACTGTAGTGTGCCTCCATCACCATTACTGTAGTGTGTGTGTGCCTCCATCCCCATTACTGTAGTGTGCCTCCATCCCCATTACTGTAGTGCCTCCATCCCCATTACTATAGTGTGTGCCTCCATCACCATTACTGTAGTGTGCCTCCATCACCATTACTGTAGTGTGCCTCCATCACCATTACTGTAGTGTGCCTCCATCCCCATTACTGTAGTGTGCCTCCATCACCATTACTGTAGTGTGCCTCCATCCTGTAGTGTGCCTCCATCCCCATTACTGTAGTGTGCCTCCATCCCCCCATTACTGTAGTGTGCCTCCATCCCCATTACTGTGGTGTGCCTCCATCCCCATTACTGTAGTGTGCCTCCATCCCCATTACTGTAGTGTGCCTCCATCCCCATTACTGTAGTGTGCCTCCATCCCCATTACTGTGGTGTGCCTCCATCCCCTGTAGTGCCTCCATCCTGTATCCCCATTACTGTAGTGTGCCTCCATCCCCATTACTGTAGTGTGCCTCCATCACCATTACTGTAGTGTGCCTCCATCACCATTACTGTAGTGTGCCTCCATCCCCATTACTGTAGTGTGCCTTCATCCCCATTACTGTAGTGTGCCTCCATCACCATTACTGTAGTGTGCCTCCATCACCATTACTGTAGTGTGCCTCCATCACCATTACTGTAGTGTGCCTCCATCACCATTTAAACAGTCCTCCTCCTCTCTCTTAACCCCTTGTGTGTACAGGGTCCCCTCTGAGCTGAACTAAATCGTCCACCATTAGCCAAATATAACATTAAAAGTGGTATTTCCATAGTGAATGGGTTAATAATGCATAATACCTGTACATATCACATGTACTGGTAATTATACACAGTATTAGACCTCAGGCTTTATCTTATTAGTTTTATGCCACTTATTAAACTGTACTTATGTTGCTTTCATTACATGTTAGTTAAAAAAATTCTTGAAAGTATTTCTTATAAATTTATATTCTTACTGTATATATTGTACCTGGTACATTGTTATTAATTAATTTTATTCCAACCTTTTTATTATAAGCTTTACAGTACAAAGTTTGGTGCATAAAATCAAATATCTGGTAATTAAAGTTTGAATTTTTTTTCACAAAGCTCTCTAGCAGGTCGTTCCAAGAGTTCACAACTCTCACTCAAAAATAATTTGCCCTGACAGTTTTCTGATTGTGTTGCTTCTTCAACCTTAAGCTGTGACCTCTAGTGGGGCAGGCATCTGCCAGCTCCAGGTATGAACATTCAACTGAGTAGTGCCCTCTGAGATGTTTATAAACTTTTATTAAGTCACCCCTTGTTCACCTATAGTATAAGCTAGTCTGAAGTATCTCTGTACCCAAGAGAAAATCAGATTTGCTTAGATAACTTAATATTTAAGTCACAGTAAGTTTTTCCCATACAGTACCAGGACCTAGAAGCCACCAGAACTTTTAGATACATAGCCCAGTTAAAACATGACTTAGTTATGCATTGAAGGATTTTTTTTATCTGAAGTGAGGTTCTCCCTTGGCTCTCAAGCCATTGTTTACATGGTATGGCTAGTTGTATTATTAATCTTCCAGTTTATGCAGAATTTCTCCCAACCTGGGTAGGAACCTTAGGACAGTATTACACAACATCTTGGTCCATAAATTACTGATCCTCTGTCACTTGTTCACATGAAATAAAAGAAGATATGTACAGTATCTCAAAAAACTTACTGTCCACATTGTGTAATTTAACATAATTAATGCAATGTGTATTCGACGTAATTAATACGATGTTCGGTTACCAAATGTAGTAGGAGCAGTATGCCACAGAGCAACGCATATCACCCCAACCGGGACATCACACGAGTTGCAGAAGTAGCACTTCGGGAAGTCATCTGACTCATCCTGGCAGACACGTTTTTAAGATGCTGTACCTGTAAAGCTTATAGTATACAGAACTATATACAGTGCTGTATATTACATTATACACAAACATACAGTCTCCAGAATGCATCGACTGGTTCTTACCCTGAACACATTAAATGATGCAGAATTGTAGAGACGACCATTTACACTTTCCTTATATATCCTGTACAAAATGTGCATTAACTAATACAAATGAGGAGTGATGAATAAAATTTTATAAGCATTTAGAGAAGGATATTACTTGGTTGTAGGGTGGCCACTTCCATAACCCCATATAGGAAGACTGCGTGGCGCGATTCTCCAGATCCAACCTGAAGACCATAACCTACAGTAAACAGTTGGGTTCAATATAATTTAAATTCACTGAACCGAGAAAGTGGTTTTTACTTATAGGTTTAAAAATTTAGTTAAAAAGTCGGTAAATCCGTGAAAATTTGGATAATTACCTGACCGACCGCCCAAGTGGCCAACAATTTACAATCTGATCATGGCAAAGCGAGTAAATTAAACTAACAAAATTCTTAAAACATGTACATAATCTTAATTTTATATTTAAATCAGAGAATGATGGCCGTCCGGGACTGGTGTGAGGTGACCCCAACAGACGTCGCTGTTCCTTGGGACCATAATTGTTGTCTAAATACAGGTATGTAACATATCAACCATTATCCAGACTTCCCATACATTATATTCTCTGAAATTTGGGCACTAATTTGATATTTTGAAATAGACACTTATTTTATACTGGAAAAAAACATTTAATGATTATGCTTTATCCCTTTATTCACTTGTCATCTCTGGGCGGCTACTGATTTCAAACTAATTATCGTTTGGTTCGAAAATCCAGTAAATTAGGACTTTTCACTGGAATTAACTGAATAATTAAAACAAATTTACTTATAATGTGATAGTTTTAATAAGTAAACGTTCACCTATATAGAGAAAATATTTTATAGGCTTGTCGACGGTGAATGACGTCATTGTTAGCGACCTGGACGACCAGAGAACAGGCAGGAGTGTTGTTCCCAGCCTGAGGCAAGTTATTGTGTTCAGGGATTCGACCGCTCGGCGCCCGAAGCTGCGTTGTGTTTTTTATATTGAAACAGTTTATTTAGTGATAAAATGAGATTCTCCAGAAACACGGGATATAAGCACCAGAGGTTAAACTTGTTCAATCAACGGCAGAGGACGACTGCATGATGGAGGTAAGTTAATGGTGGTGAATTTCAATGTTGTCTTATGTAAGAGATGGAACCGTGGGATGAACTTATTTAAGTCATTTAGTTGTACAGTTACTCACAAAAGAAAGCCCCCCCCCCCGGGTGAGCGGTCTTGTAACTGGAAGCAGTTCAGTTCTGGACCTCTCACCCAGAGGGTCTGTTTCTTTTATTAGTGACTGCACATTATTTTTCCTCGTATTTATGTCCCGGAGAGTACGTTAATATTAAGGTGTTTGGGCTTTTGTATACCGATAAATTGAGAGGAATTGGTGGCCGCTGATATTCGGTTAACTGTTATTTTGTTGTATTTGTAACATTATAACCACGAACGAAATATGGAAGCATTTTACAATGATATTAATGAATGAAGTCTAAAGTATTTTACGATACGACCGTCACGTATTGAAAGATACAAGTATTTCATGACAGCCAATGTAGCAAGTAATTTACAGTTGTATTTCATATCGGGAATATCAGTAATATTGTATCATTAAACGAGCGAGCAGTGTTGCGTGTCTAACAAGGCTACGAGTTGGGCGGAGTGGGAGGGTGGAATGTGTTGATGTTTTATTTAGTCTCAAAGTTAAATAGATCCCCTCGTTAAAGACAAGAGAATACAACTCACAGGTTTAATTGAGGTAAATCCTATAAAATTCTGCGTACCATCTGTTAGGTACCAAAGTGAATGTTGTGAACTCTAGAGCAGTCAAATGAGTACCGTTATTTGAGGTGCTTCTGTAATATATTTATTTTTATAATTACACTGCCCTAAGTTAACGTTTGTTTCATAATTAAATAATTTTGAGAAAGATAAACAGTGCAGTGTAATGAGTTTCGCGGTGAAGTACTGTATGTGTGATTCAAGCTAATGGTTTCAAAGGAAAATGGGACAGTTGTAGGGGTAACTATGGAGAGGTTCTAGACTCGGCCGTAATGAGACTTTGAGTTATTAATTACCACAGTGTTGTGTTTGTGGATTACCTCCTTTATTGTGTTGTTGACTCAACAAATATGGGAAGAGTCTTATTTGCCTTTATGTAAGACCTTGCTTAGGGCGTCTTGACCAGGTACAGCAGGAATGTGTTGGAGGTCAT